AAAAAAATAGCAAGACCTTGTCTCAGAAGAAAAAAAAAAAAAAAAAAAGCCGAGCTATGCTACGCAAACATTTAAATGCTATTGAATTTTAAAGTAATACATATCTTTGTTAGAATTATCTCAGCACTGATAATATGGTTTAACAGCATATAAAGACATAAAAAGGTACAATTTGAATTTTTTTACTGATTTTACCTACTTTCAAACCACTGTAGCCCCAGTCAGTCATAAACAATATTACAAAACATTGCTGAAGAACTTAACTGTACTATATAGAGAGGACTATATACTTATCTTTTCCAAATGTAAAATTAATTTTGTGATACATTTAAACAAAATACTTACTCTAAAAGAGGTGGAAGTATTTCACAATTCAAAACAAAATCTCTGCATTCTGCATTGTCCCCAGCAATGTTGCCAAGTGCCCACACCGCCTTAAAAAAAAATAAGAAAACAAGTCTCTTAATACAAAATCCTTAAAAGAGATGCTCTCTCTTAAGAATGAGACTTTTAGTACAGAAGCAAAAGGCAATAATTTTCAAGAACCTGTGAGAAAACAAAAGAAAACAGGAAAGCTCTTTAAATGAAATTTTGTACTGTTTTAAGTCAAAAGACAAGGGCATTTAAAAGGTTTTCCTTACATTCTAGTGAGATGTTTATATATTCAATGAAGTATATCTATTCTGAACCTATTAAGCAGTGTATTTATTCTGAATCTACCAGAAGAGACAAACTATATCTAGCAAATTTTCCAATCACTTTTACTACTTGGTCTGCTCCTATGCCAAGAAATCCTCTAAGTGGAAACGTACTGACTTTTAAGAAGAGAAACAAAGCACAGGCAAAGGAGTAATAATAGTGAACATGAGAATGAGATGGATCGCTGAAATTTAAGACTACTTGGATAATGTTAAAAACAAATGGTAGTAAAGATCAAGTTATTCACTTACTAAATTTGAATTACATGAGAAACCATGCAAATAAAAATTATTTTATTATATTCTCACTTTAAATTTTTCTTTTAAGTTAGGGCTGGAGAGATAGCTCAGCAGTTAAGAGCACTGGCTGTTCTTGCAGAAGACCCAGGTTTGAATCCCAACACCCACATGGAGGTTAACAACCATCTGACCCCCTCTTCTGTCCTCCATGGGCATTGCATGACACTGGTTCACTCACATACACGCAGGAAATACACACATACACATAAAATAAAAATAATAAAATTAAAAAAAATTTCATGTAAGTATAAAGCTATATTACTTGTTCAACTGGAAAAGTTTTTAGCATTTAAAACATAACTTAATATGTTTACCATCTACTTTAAACCTGCTTATTTTTTTAATTTATTTTATTTTTCACTATGTGTCCATGTGTGTGTCCGTGTGTGTGCACACGCACCATGTGATTTCAGAAATGGGCATCAGATTCTCTGGAGTTACAGTTGGTTATATGCTTCCTGATATGGGTGGAAGGAACTGAACCCAGGTCCTCTGTAAGAGCAGCAAGTGCTCTTAACTGCTGAGTCATCTCTCTAGCTGAACTGTTGTTTTATTTAACAAAAAAAGAAAAAAAATTAAGCTAGAGAAGAAAAAAAAATCTTT